CTGTGTGTGTTTAAGGCAAAGTGAGATCGTACACTTGTGAAAGGACACTGAGCCACAGACAGTCTCACACAACAAATCCATTGTCTTGCTTTCAGCCTCATTGTCCTCATGGGACTTAATTAGGAGGCTCAAAGGTAACTATTAGCAGTAGGTTAGCAAAAGGACAAGGACAACACCAGCTGTGGCACAACAGACTACATTATACATGTGTGCAGCACACACACAGACACACAAATGCAGATCTGCTAATAAAAATCCCACACCTTGCAGGCACAAATATTGCATGTTATTAAATAAAATTATGTGGTTGCTGGGAATGTTTATGCTAGTGTGACTGTTTCATGTCTGTGTGTTGAGGCGGTTTGGATGGTCAGGTGTTGTGTGGTACTAAATGAAGCCGGGTATGCAGAGTTGATGTGTTTAGAAGAGCCGACCTCAGCATTCAGACTGACAGAGTAGCAAAGGCATCACAGTGTCACAGTGAATAACGTCAACTCTGTCAGGCGCGCTCACCGCATGCAGTAAATGCAGTTGACAACATGCTGCGACTTGGGGGTGAGGCTCTTCTTTGGGGGATGCTTCATACATAAACATGAGGAATAACACACGGGGGTGCATTGTGAATAATCCTCCATTTGGGATTAACGTTGAAATAAACAGACTCTCGGGCTCCTGCTCAGTAAAGTTCTCATCCTGACTGCTCCAGGCCAACACGTTAAACCAGGTACATTCACCATGAAGTCACACTGGTGAACTACTACTAAGCTACTAGTAAATATGTAGGTTATTTTTGGTTGATTATTTCCTACTCGATTCTTTTATGTGGGGCAACTTGTTAAACGTCAGTTCGAAATCTATTTTTTTACACTACAGTTGTGAGCCACCCTCATTCCTTCACAGCTGGATAGGAAAATAGGAAATAGGTCCAACGATTTATTAAAACGTGCAAAGATACATTGAAAGACATTATATAAGGTAAGATTTTAATGCATTGGCAGCGTGTTTGGTATCACCTGTCACTGTCTCTGCTTCTGTTGTCCTCCACTTGTCCAGTTTCCTCATTTTTATGAGGACACACGGCCTCTGAAACATGCCAAGTTTTCATCTGATAACTACGTTTTATGTCGTCAAATTGTTATCTTTGGCTACAGAAATGGGAGCAAATAAAGGCATCAATTTGGCTGTGAGCTAAATTGCCCGTTTTGCAGACAGAACACTGCTTCATCCTTTGAGTTAGGTGCTTTTTTTATGCTTAAATGATTCATAGGTCGGTGTGAAGTGGCCTATAAAACAACACAAAACTGCATTCTTCTAGAAATGGTCAGGTGCAAGGACTGGACAAAAAATGATTGAGAAAGCAGCCAATGTCTAAAGAAAAACTTTGAAAGACCTTCAGACCTGAAAACAATGTCCAACAACTGTTTTTTTTTTTTGTAGGTTGTTGCTCATTCAGTGGGCGTGTCAGAAGCATTACCGAAGTTATGCTCGGAATTAGCATTATAAGACAATACACACAGTGACTCACCTACCACAGGTGTAACATCTGTGTAACATGAAGCAGCATTCAGTGCGCCATTGTTTCTGTTTAAAGAAATGCTTTTTGGTATGTTTGGTTTAAACATAGCTCTGGTTGTGTGGAAACCAGAGTTTAGGCACAACTCTGGTGTCCGCTGACAGTGAGCCGGCCCTGCTGCTCGGAGGCACCATGTTGGTGGGAAACAGGCGCACTGAGTCTATCTGCTGTTTGTGACTTAGAACTACTGTCCTACAGCCACCTCAAGCAAGGAGTTATTAGTCAAAAATACCACCTGATTTCTGCAGCTTACAGCAGGCTATGTAGCTGTGGTCCTGCTATTCTATTGTCCATGTCTTCCTCCTCTCACCCCAACCGGTCGCAGAAGATGGCCGCCCCTCCCTGAGCCTGGTTTTGCCAGAGGTTTCTTCCTGTTAAAAGGGAGTTTTTCCTTCCCGCTGTCGCCAAAGTGCTCGTTCATAAGGGGTCAGGATTGTTGGGTTTTTCTCTGAATGTATTATTGTAGGGTCTACATTACAATATAAGGTGCCTTGAGGCGACTGTTGTTGTGATTTGATGCTATTTAAATTGAATAGAATTTAATTGAATTCAACTCATACTGCCTAAACTTTGAGTGGAAGCACACTGACCTCAGATGTGTTATTTGGTGTTGGAGATATCCGGCATTTCTAGCTGTCAGTGTGTTATGAAGAACAGCTGGTGGGCTGATTGGTCAGTCAGAGCTGCCTCTTCAGCGATTAATCATCCCCGAGGCAGCAGCAGTGTCCCCACTGTTTCACTGCAGATTTGAGCAGGCAGATGTGGTTGGCTTATCGTCAGCTGACACAGCAGATGAGTATGTGTGCATGTTTGTGTGTGTGTGTATGTGTGCGTGTGAAAAGAGCATGCCCATCAAGAGAAACTGCAGAACATACAGCGACAAGTGCCGATCTGTTAAGATCAAACAAGGCAAACACTGTGACATCTTTTAAACTTGCTGTGTGACTCTGGGTAGGGCTGGGCCATATTATACCGTTCACGGTAATACCGGTATAATGTTAGGCAACGATAGGAAAATGAAATATCGCGATAGAATGGGAGTAAAACGCGCATACGCAGTGCCTTTGTTTTCATATGCACATGGCCGGTTGTTGAGTGAAACAGATGAACCAGAATTGGTTTGTAAAAATGGTGCAACTTCAGTGATGTGGAACTGGTTTGGTGTTTGTCCGTCAGATACACGACAAAGCACATTTTTTTGCAGAACATGCAAGCGGCCGTTGTTATTGTCGTATTTGTCGGACTAAGATGCTCTTAAATCTGGGAGTAATTTGGGTCCTAAACTCCGTATGCTTCAGGTCAAACAACACTGCAGCATCACTGAAAACTGTCTCAATTCTTTCATCTTTAATAAAACAATCAGCATTGCTACTTTACCAGGTGTAACTATAAAGTTTAACTTCCAGGCATCCATGAAAACAAAATGTATTACATTTAACGGAGTTAGAAGTTAGCAGGAAGCTAGCGGAAGTTAGCTCGCTAGTTTCACTAGTTACCTAAGCATGATATTGCATGTTCTGACTGAAAGATTTCTGAAAAAAATTCAAACGTACAGCTCTGCTATCACTTCCAACATAAATGAAGACAGGAAACTAAACAGCAGTGACGTTTGTAGGGTTACTGAAGTTGGGCTAGCTAGTATATAATGATGTGCTACGTGATCGCTAGCGACACAGCTATGTTAGCATAACATAAACAGTGAAGCTGGAGGACGAACACTAACACTTTTCCACTTATAAAAGTTAACGTTAAAGTTCCTGATAGTTAGAGACAAATGCAATCGCATGGCAGGATGCTGTAAACGGACCAAACTTCTGTCAGGAGAACAACTGAGATAATCCATCCACAATACGAGGTTAGTCATTAGTATACTGCAACAACATGGGAATAGAGCAGCTGCCAGAGAATTCAACATTAATGAATCAATGGTACAGAAGTGGAGGAAGCAAGAAGAATGAGTTTAATAAAGTTTGATTTATCTGACTGCTTTGTTTCGCTTAATGTGCCTTATAATCCCGTGCACCTTATGGTCCAAAAAATGCGTACTGCACACTGCAGTTTAATGTTGCAAAGCACCTCTTTTTAACTTCAGTGGATATTATACATGGTTATGCTCAGGATATGTCAGCCCATTTCTACTGGAAATGCCTTTTGGTTAAACTTTCAGCAAGGAATTTGCATTTGCACTGTTACATTTTTATAAAGCTTTAATGTACATAAAAACCAGCTTCTTGTTTAAGTGAAAATAAATGGAAGGTTGTCTTTTTGCGCTATTAATGTTGTGGAGTTGTATTTTGTCTCGCATCAAATATATCGTCAGTTATATCGTTATCGCAAATTTTCAAATATATATCGTGATAAATATTTTTGGCCATATCGCCCTGCTCTAACTCTGGGTTTCTGTTTTGGCTCCTCGGGCCTTCAATGACCCATCCATTAAAAAAATTCCCCTCATCATACATGCAGCCGATAGGTAGATGTTACAGTTTCGCCTTCCCGTGGTATCAGATCAGCCAGGAAGCAGGAAGTGTCTGCTCTGCTGGGGAAGTCTAATAAGCACTGACACTGCCTGGTAAGGGCAGGAAGGATTAAGGGAATAAAAATAACTCACTTCTCTTTCTTACTGGGCGCTTGTGGGTGTTTGCCTGCAATTGCAATTGTGAGGAAGTGGCTCCTCTAACAGTTTTTCATCAGGATTTGTGCCAACAATGCAAGATAGTTTTTTAAGACATTAGTCAGTTGCTAATAAGTAGAAACCGAGCTCTTGTAAATGATCCCTTTCAGTTGTGTATTCATGGAGAAATGGCTCTAATAAAACACTTGAGATTACACCTGGCTGACTGTGGGAGTCCTAGTTATTATTAAAAGACTAAATGTTTAGTGTTTACAGTTATGCACCAATTCTCCAAAAGGCACATCACAAACAGTGGACGTGACGCCTAACAAACATTTACCAGCCACAGCCGCTTGTGTCAGTCAGCAGTCATGTTGCTTACTGCTTAACCTTAATTGGAAAGTTGAAAATGAGACGGAAGCGGTTTTGTACCAGGCAGCAAACGCCCTTTTCTCTGTTCTAAAGTTCTCTGTGGTTTTAGAGACAAACTCAACTTGACCTGTGAAGACCAGCAGACTGCTTTTTTTGCACTTCTACACTGATTTTGTTTTACTGCCTTGGAGGTTTCAGGTTGATTAAAATAACCTTTTACTCCTAAATAAGATGAGGAAACACACAATCTGTCCTCCCCTTCCATTGCTATTTGTGAATTTTTAATACTCTCTGCTTGCTGAGTCTCAAAAGGTATTGATTTTCAATACCCAGACATACTTATTTCCTTAAGATGTATTTAGTAGGGAGTAAACTTCCTGCAAACTCTCATTTTTGTGTCTAATCTATAACTATTTTACCTCCTTCCTCTCCCCCTCTCAGATTATTTGTGTAGCCCAGAGGAGAACATTTACAACATCGACTTCACCAGGTTCAAGATCAGAGATATGGAGACCGGCACAGTGCTGTTTGAAATCACCAAACCCCCGTCTACAGGTCAGTCTTCTGTCTTCTGCATTCATATATTTCATTGTCAACTATTTATTAAAAAAAAGAGAAATTTCCATCATGAAATGCTGTAAAGCGTATGAGTTTCAAACACTACATAAATATTTAAGAAATTGTTTGGAATACACTATATTGTAGCTACAGCTCTATAATCCCTTTGAATATGACTGTTGTGAGCTAATTAATCAAATAGAAATCGATATTGTTTATTCACCAGCTTCCAATCAGCAGCTCACGGGAGACATTACGTTATAGTTGTTGTTAAATACAATAATATATATAATAAATATTCTTTACATTAGGAGATTTCAAAGTGAGAGCGTTGCAGGAGGGGTTGATAATGTGTTTTGTACTTTCTGTAGTTTGAGTAGTGATTTGGTCTATTTACCTCTAAAAACAGAGTCAACCACAGCCCATCCTTTTAGAGGAACTAAGCTACAAAAGTAGGGCTCAAATTGAAGGAAGACAACAAAAATTATAAGATGCGTTAGGAAAGCAAATCTGTCCTTTTTCTTCACCAAATAAATACATTTTTCCTACTTGGTGCCATCCAGCACAATATAAATCTGCCATTTCTATTAGGCTTCCATCTACGAAGGTTTATCTTGTACTTTAATCTGCTCCATGCAAACTGGTCTTCACTTCAGATAAAGGAAGTGAGAAGAGGGATATTGACCCAAATGCCGGCCGATTCGTCCGTTACCAGTTCACCCCTGCGTTTCTCCGACTGCGGCAAGTTGGAGCCACGTAAGTGAGAATGTGTGTGAATCTTTATTGACAAGGACACGGTTAACAAAGGAAAGATTGAACCTTGTCTGTGTATGTTTTTCCTTCCAGTGTTGAGTTCACAGTCGGAGACAGACCGATAGAGAATTTCAGGATGATTGAGAGGCACTATTTCAGAGAGAAGTTGCTCAAGAGTTTTGACTTTGAGTTTGGCTTCTGCATGCCCAGCAGCAAGAACACCTGTGAACACATCTACGAGTTCCCACCTCTGTCTGAAGACATCAGTAAGTCTGTGCACCCACTAGAATATAGGTCTTGTGGAACAAACAGCATGCACACATGCTGTTTACCTTCTTTCTGAACCTCCCTGAGCCTGGGGTTACTGGAGGTTTCTTCCTGTTAAAAGGGAGTTTTTCCATCCCACTGTTGCCAAAGCATTTGCTCAAAGGGAGTCATATGATTGTTGGGGTTTTCTCTAGTTTCTTTCTATTATTCCAGCATCTTTACCTTACAATATAAATCACCTTGAGACAACTATTGTTGTCATTTGGCACTATATAAATTAAACTGAACTTTTAAGGCTTTATATATATATCATAGAAAATCATCTGGTCCTTAGCAGGTCTTAATCAAGTAAGAAGTTCCACGAGGATTAATAGGGCAAGGAGAAGCCAAGTGCTTTTAAAAAAATGCACTTGAATAACTGATGAACTGCAAGTATTAGCACTTCTATAAAAGCAGAGGTTTTGACAGTTTGCAGGTTTGGGGCAATCAGGTGTGTGTTTGCGCAATGCCAAGGAGGAAATCAGCAATAATATCTGAGAAAAAGTTGTTGCTACTCATCAGTCTGGGAAAGAGTTTTAAGGTCATTTCCAAGTCATCATCTGAAGTCCATCATTCAGAAGTGAGAAAGTATATTTACATGCGGAAAACATTCAAGGGACTTGCTAATCTTCCCAGGCGTGGACGTCCCAGCATATTTACCACAAGGTGCAATGCTTAGATAAACTACAGAGAACCCAAGAGCAGCATCTCAGACTCTTTCACGGTAGCACAAGGCTTTTACGAGGCACTGCTGTCTGAACATGGGCAAAAAAATCCATACTCCTCAACCAATTTGAGCCACAGACCCAATTTTGGGTTGGGTTTTTTTTATTTATTTATTTTTTTACAAAACAAGTCCATAAATCTTGTTCAATAAAGGGTTTGTACCAAAGTACTCTTAACTTAAATGTGAGGCCATCTGTCTGGTAGCTGAAGCTTGGCAAAAACTGGGTCATGCAACAGAACAACGATCCAGAGCACAGCAGAAACTTTACAATAGAGTGATGGAAAAAGTCCCAGTCAAAGTCCAGACATCAAAATCATAGAAATGCTGTGGTGGGACTTTAAGAGAGCTGTGAAAAAACAAATGACTTCAAACCTCAATGAACTAAAGAAGAGTGGGACAAAATGCTGTAATCTGCAATACCAGGCATTGGCTAGTGCGCTGGTCTGTCGGCCAGTGCCTGGTATGCCAGATTACCAGTCCAGCCCTGCTCAAAACTACAACTGGCAACCTCATGGTGGCAATAGAGAAGAAGCCACCAAAGCTTCCTGAGAATCAGGAAGTACCTGACAGCTTCGGTGCTCAGGAAGCTTTATCGAGTAGCTACTCAGATATTTAATTGTCAGCTTAAGTTGGGTGGGGAGAAAACATTCAAAAATACTTTAGCCTATCGTGTATTGTAATGACATATAAACTAAGTAAATGACACAGTTTTAATGTAAGCAACATAGTGAATTTACTACAGGGCATATTTGTCAGTCAAACAAGTGAATTAAGTGAACTCAGTGTGTCTTGAATACATATTTACCAGTTATTTATGTATTAAAGTCACATTATGTTTACTTCTTTCAATCATTTTAGAATGACAGCTATGCATCTCATTGGGTTTACACTTTTTTTCTCTTAAAACTACCTACTTTATAAAATTTTTAGCAATTCAGTTGCATAATAGGCCCAATGAAGGTGTTGCTTTTACTTTTTAAAATTATTTTCTGTTCTGATCTGACCAGAGTAGATTAGGAGCCGGTCTTCTAAAAGCTGCAATGTTTTCTGTCTGCTTGCAGTCAGAGAGATGATCCTGCACCCGTATGAGACACAGTCGGACAGCTTCTACTTTGTGGACAATAAGTTGGTGATGCACAACAAGGCAGACTACTCGTACAATGGCGGGACGTAGAGGTGGCACGCTAACAGGAGAGCAAGCGGAGTTATGGACTAAACCCGAGGGACGATCAAAATACACGTGTGGGGTTAACGTCCTGTTGATCCTGCAGTCCCTCTCCCTGTATCTCTTCCTCTCCCTCTTTGTTTTTCCTTCAGAGAGGATGCCGTCAAGAAAAGGCCCACACAGATGTGACACTTATAATCTGTGAGAGTGTGTGTGTGTGTGTGTAAGCACATCTGGGTTTATCAAAGCCTAACAGGAAACACACACACACACTGATGCACAGAGCTCAGTGTGGCGTCGCTGTAACAAAGTGTGTTTGTAACATGATAAACTTGCAAGTAAGCAACTTTTTAGGAATTATCAAATGGTTTTTGCTCTCTAGCCACGTCATGAAGTGAAAAAAGAAAAAAATCTTTAATTATTGGTAGAAATTATTTACATTTTAGGGTTTAGAAACGCGTCTGAAAACGTGTTTTTAGGACTTAAAAACAGTCTTTTGGAAATCTGTTCTCAGATTCAGTGAGTCTGTGTGTTTTGTATGCGTGTGTGTGTTTGTATGTGCGTGTGTCTACCCTTGCTTTTAGTGTCTTTTGTATGATCGTCTGTGTGTATAAGTTTGATGCATGATTGATTTAAATGTCAATAACATGAACATCTGGTTGGCAAAGTTCAAATAGATTTCCAAACCCGTTTAGTGCATATTCTACAAAGTAGGCAGTAAGTAGTTATTTTGTATTTATAATTCCCTCCCCCTGTCCCTTTATTCCTTTTAGTTTTAGTAGGACTTGTGTTTATTATATCTGCTCAAAGCACAACATTTTACAACAATCAGGAAACTTACAAAGACAAGCTGAGCTGATATGAAATGTACTTTGTCATCTGTGAAAATTCAACTGTACTTCCAGCCCCATGTTTCGTTGTTTAAGTGATAAAGAAAACTTTAGAGAGGTGCAAATTATGTGTTTCAGAAGTTTCAAAAGAGACGAAAAGGAAAACATGGGTTAGCAAATGTTCATGTTCACCCTGAAATGTTCTGCAAAAAAAGAAAGGATAAGGAATGTAGCAGCAGTTACTTAAAGAACAGGTCACCCTTAAATCTCTTCCATTCTGTTGTTTCTTCCTGCAGTCGTTCTCGTCATGTCTTGTGTGATGCGGATATTTTCTCTTTCTCAGTTTTTTTTCCCTGTAATATCTTATTTTCTGTCAAATTGTTTTCATTCAGAGACATTCCAGCGATTTGGACCCGAGTATGGTGATCCGAACACAGGATTGCTCCATACTGTAATATGCTCACTGTGCTTTTTGTCTGTTTGTGCTGAGACTCAAGAGCAACCACATAGTTTCCTGCATTTCTTTCCCTCATCACACACTCTAATTTGATGCACTAGAGATTGATATTAGTTTATGTGACTGATGATTTTAATGAGTCTAAATTTAAAATGCAGTTAATTTAGACAGATACTGCATCGTATTTGCAAACACTCACAAATCTATGAATAACAGGCCAGCTGAATCAAAGTTACTCAAATGTACCTGCTGGGTGTTCAGATTAACAGAGGAAATTGTGGACATGGATTGATTCAAACTGGCACTGCTTTGTTGATTTCATCCTGCACAACAGACAAAGTATGAAACATTTATAATAGTTGTGAAATGAACAGGAGGGGACTCAGATTTGACTTAATCAGAGATTAAGCCAATTAACATGAATGTTATTTTAAACAAAAATGTAATACAGATATGTAGAACAGATTTATATATGACTGTGACTCGTGCAAATTATTTTGAACTCGGGAAGTTTTTGACAATACAAATGTTGGTGTGACTGAAAAAAGTAAAAATAAAAGATTTTGAAATATCACTGTCTTGGCTGCTATTTGTGTGGGTGTGCCTGTCTATCTGTTGAGTAAATGAAGGTGACACTTTGTTGAAGTAGTGCTTTATTTCTACAGAATAGAAGTGGATCACAAATCTTGTTCAGTTTGGAAAGTACACGTTTCTCTGCTGGGATGTTCTGCCTCAACATCTTCATTTTTTCACATTCTCTTGTATAAAACAAAAAACAAGGAGAGAACATGGACACTAACCTCTGCGACCGGTACATCCTGTTCGCAGCCTCTTATCTCTGTTACCCAACCAACCAACGTTTTCATCTGTAATGACTGGGCACAGTCACCTTCCTGCCATTTATTTGTGCGCTTTCTTGGAGTGAATCTTTCAAAGGGAAAGCTTTTAAAAATCCTATTTGCTTTAATTAATCCTTCTGTTTAGTGTTAAGGTGAATACAGGATACAGTTAGCTTAGAGAGTAGAAACAGAGGGAAACAGAGCCTGGCTCCATTTAAAATGTAAGGATTAGCCTACCAGACCCTATAAAGCTCACTTATTAATATACTACAGCAGGGGTTGGCAACCCTGGGCACGCGTGCCACAGCTGGCACACGAAGGGTTAACTGATGGCATGACCATAGCGATTTTTCGTTTTTATGGCCCAATGGGGTTTTTTTGTAATGGTATAAACAATGAAAGTGGTAGATTGGTGGCTATGGCAGAGCTTCCACAGAGGCCAGCGGGTGGATGAGGGAGAGGGGAGGCAGGAGGAGAGGAGACCCGAGGCGGGGTCAGATATAAACCAAGTTTAGGTGAAGTTTATTTTCGTTGTACTAACTTTTTACAGTCAGTTTCAATAACTTGTACTGCGTATTAGCTAGCATGACGGGGTTTCTATACAGCTGGGTGGGTGCTATGATGTTACTGATAGTGAACTTTATTTTATTCATAAGGTTAGTTAGTAGAGTTGCCAACCGTCCTGTAAAAAAATGGAATAGTCCCGTATTCAGAGAAAATATTACACGTTTTGTGTTGAGGTGAAAAGGAACAGTTTGTCCCGTACTTCAGCTAGAATGAAAAAAGCTGGATTTATTCTGTGTCTTTACGCTGTCACCTGCCTCTTCTTCTCTCATTCTCTCGCCTCTCTCTCCTGTTGCGACTTCAATCATGAAACTGATCAATGATCAGCTGATCGGCTTTTCTGACGCAAGTTCTATTTCTCTTGTTTGTTTATCGCCCACTTTGCGCCAGAAAAAGGATGTCGCACTAAACAACAGCAGCACGTTTAAGCTTGATCAGCTGTTGTTAGAATTTATTTAATATTACTTCCTAGTATCAGCTGATGTTTGCTGGAGCCACAGCTGTAAAGCTGCTGGTCATGATGTCGGTTTGGATATGTGGTGAGAGGGAAACATGAAGATGAAACCAGGAGATGTCCTTACTGAATCATCAGAGCTGAACAGGTGATGGAGAAACAGGTTTACCTTTTAGGTGACATGAATGAGTTGAAGGGAAGTTATGAGCTGTTTCTGAGAGACAAATAACACCAGGATCCTTTTTTAGGTAGCTGACAGCTGGTAACTGTGCAGGGGCGGATCTAGCAAAGTTTTGCCAGGGGGCCAGGTAGGGCATTAACAGGGAGAGGGGGGCAGAAAGAAATACTTTTATTTGTTATTCTCATTTAAAATGTCTAGCTTATAATAAATAATTATCTGAATCTTAAAACCAAAGTTTTTATCTGATGTAAAATGTATAGAAATCATACATATACCAACAAGACAGTATACTTCACTGTCACAACAGCATTTGTTTTCATTCAAAGGCTTTATAGCTTTTCCTATAATACCTGGTGGGCCACTCTCTAGTCAAAATGCCCGGGCCGATTTTTTGTCCCAGTCCAGCCCTGGGCACGACACTCAGTGAATTAAAAATTAATGGCTGGGCCAGCAGTGCACATCACGAATTAGCTTGCATAGTTGTGCCGCTTCTTAATGACGGTATCTTAGATAACAACCCCAACTACCAGATTCAACTTGTAATTGGCTAAAAATAACTTAACCTAATGGTGAGAGGGACGTTGCTAGCTGGCAGTTTTTTCAAGTAATGTTGAAATTTCCACATTCCAACACTTCAAATGCTTCAGGAGCTGTCAGTGCAGCATCAGCACCGCGGAAATACACGGATACATCCGTAGACTCGAGACAGAATGCGTTTTTGGGACTATGGACCAATGTTTTCTTTTCTAATCAAACCAAAAAGCTTTAATGAGCAGCTGGATTTGTCTCACATTAACTGGTTGGACACAGAGGGCATCGAAATGAACTGATTGAACTGAAAAGCTCGACTCTGTGGGGTTCAAAGTTTGCAGACTACGAACGCAGCTGGAATCTATAGCTGTGCGTGTTCATGGTGCTTGTATTTTCACCTGCTGGACATCACTGCCTGACAAGGTTAACTGTCTTTAAAACATTGCAGAGGCCTTATTGATAGTATTTGGCTCTACATATTTGTGTGAGCTGATTTTCTCTCACATGAAGAGTGTCCTCAGGTAGCCGTCTGAATGCTGGACACTTCTAGACCTGTGTCTCTGAGTGGGTGACCAGAGGTCACATTAACATGTGTATCTCTGTATTAACAAAAATGCCATATTGGCCCAGTTTATTTTTCTTATCATTGTTGTGTGGAGACCATAAATAGCATTTGCATTTTCTGTTGTACAGTTCATTTGCTGTTATGGAGTTCTTGTTATGGATAAAAAGTCTTTTTTTGTTTCAAAATAGCTGATAACTATTCGCTGATAGCTGCCAACATCTGCGAAGAAATATAATTCTATAAAGTTGTTCTATATAGTTTGTAACTGTTCATATAGATCATTATTAAATTTATTGCTAATGCAATCATATGGCACATTGACTTCTGAGGAAATTTTAGATGGCACTCGTCATCAGAAATGTTGCTGACCCCTGCATTACACTATATCTAGCTTCTCTGCTTTTTTTTAAGCATGAAAAGCAATGCATTTATTTCATTGGGTGTTTTAGCAGGGTAATAAAAATGGCTTCAGCTCACCAAAAATCTGTTTAACTTTCTACATTTCAGATCAGGGTTGGGTCATTTGTGTTTCCTAGGGAGCACATAAGAAACTGGGACTGTTGTAGAAGGCTGCATAAACAGCTGATATCAGTTCTGCTCACTATTACTTTAGATTTAGGTTATTGGTGTATCCTATCACAACAGTTCCAGTTTCTCATATGACCGCTTGGGAAAATTAAATGCCCAACCTCACTTTAGATAGCCAACACAAAGAAGATGTAACATGTAATAAGTAAGTTGCCGTAAGGTGGATTTTGACATTCTGCTTCTAAATAGGTTTTGCTAAGTTTCCGTTTTACTTTTTTGTCCATAACACATTTGGGGGCTCATCTGGGAGTCTGACCAAAATTTTAACCTGCAGTTTTCTTAGCAAGAAATTAGAGCACTTCCATTATTATTATTATATGAATTGTTATATAAAGTATTATAAATTAAAAAAAAGACTATCACAACCAGAAAAAGGTCACATTGGTATTTATAAATTATAAAATAAGTAAAATTCCTCCTTATGAAAAGATGTTGTGACAAAAACACATATAAAATTAA